TATACATATATATATATATATATATATATATATATATATATATATATATATATATATATATATATATATATATATATATATATATATATATATATATATATATATATATATATATATATATATATATATATATATATATATATATATATATATATATATATATATATATATATATATATATATTGATGATGCTAAAGTATAGCTCACCTAGGATGATGTAGAAAACAAGCAGGGAGAGCAAAGCTGATCAATAGCTATTAAACTCGATGATCCTGAGGTCCCTACAAAATGAGCACACGTGAACTAAGCCGGGGGTTGATCCGGCGGAAACCCCTCCGACGCTCAAGTCAGATGTACGGATCGTAGAGAGAATAGAGAGAATAAACTCGTGGTGGATTATCAATAATGAGAACGTACCTTTACAAATGAATAAAACTTCTATTTATATGTCGTTGATTGAGTTGGGCTTATTTTGTTGGGCCCAAGCCTTACTTTGAAGGTGCTTGGGTTTTCGTGTAATGGGCCCGAATACTTTCGTGTATTGGGCCTAATTATTAAATAAATTGGGGTCCATTGGGTCGGCCCAATTAGGTATATCATTAAGCCCCCCAACTCTCGATTCGAGACGGAGACTTGTGTAGAGGGACCCGGGTCGTGTCGAGAGTTAATTGCGTCGTGGAGTGAATTGTTTCCGTTGGTGGTGAATTAATTCCTTAATTTGAATAAGGAATCATTGTATTTATTTGGCAGCGAGGTATATATTTAAGGGTTTTAAATAATATATCAGGGCCAGATAAATAGACTCCTTGTGCGGTGGAGAGTATTAAACTTCAACGTCTTGCAATAAATATGGGTATGTTTTTTGAACTCTAGGTCTTCTGTGCTATTTTTCTCTTGAAATATTTTTTGTTTCTTGATTATTTGTGCGGAGAAAAAATTTAGTCATGTCGAATCCGGGTAAGTCGAAATCTTTGCGAATTAAACTCCGAGATCCGGTTGAAGGGGGTGAGAAAACTTTTGGTATGGTGGGTATAGAACGCGAGAAGGTAGTAGTATCGGGTACGGAAATCGGATCCTCAGTAGCTAGTTTTCGAATTGAGAACAATAGGGGAGATGTAGCAGGTTCTATGGTTGCTGGCTTGAGCCAAGCCGCCGGCCGGTCCAATGTGAGGGGGAGCGCGCGCTTCGAGGCTGACTTGGAGCCGAGTGGAGCCGAGCCGCCGAAAAAGCCACGTGGGCTGAATGTGTTGGGCACAGCTAACGAGGGACGCACGTGTGCGTCATTGGAGGAGAGAGAAGGGGGCGCGCGCGCGTCGGTTGGTGGGTTAGGTGGACGCGCGCGCGCCATTGGTCCACATGTCAAAGGTGACGCGCGCGTGGACGGGGAGAGCTTGCAACGACGCGCGCGCGCGTCTGGTGGGAGGAGTGAAACGGACGCGCGCGCTGGGGCCAATGGGGAGGGGGCACGTGGCGCTGGGCAGGCAGATGACGCGCGCGCGCGTGATCCGCCCCTTTTGGGGCCACGCGCGCGCGTGAGGGCGCGTTAGAACCCGGTTTTGAGCCCGGTTCGGGCGAAATTGACGGGCAAATTTCCGTAGTGTGCTGATTCGCGTGTTGTTTTAA